TTAGCTGGTTTTCTTCTTACCTGTCAAACCGTTACCAATCTGTTTTTATTAAAGGGCTTAAGTCATCAGATCATGCTCTTAAGTATGGGGTCCCCCAGGGCTCAGTCCTCGGTCCAGTTTTGTTCACCATTTATACTCCACCACTTGTCAAGTAAATAGTTAAATATGACTTAAAATACCATTTCTATGCTGATGATACCCAAATTTATGGTTCAACATTGTTTACCAACTTAGATGATTGTCCATCGTGCTGAAAATTGTATTGCCTTAGTGAAAAACCGGATGAACAAATATAAATTGATGTTAAATGATGATAAAACAGAAGTCATTCTGGCAGGCAATGCAAAGTCTGTTAAAGAGGTTGACCATGATCACATTAAAATTGGTGATGCAAAAATTTTATTTTCAAGAAAAGTTAAGAATCTTGGAATCTATTTTGATTCTTATTTGTCAATGTCGGCTGAGGTAAATCATCTGATCAGCTGCATGTATTTAGAAATAAGAAAAATTAATAAAATACGTCATCTGATCAATACCAAGTATACTGCTTTACTAGTAACTAGCTTAATTTTATTTTAACTCGATTATTGTAACTCCTTGTTATCAGGAATATCACTGGAGAAAGTTAAAAAACTTCAAACTGTCCAAAACAATGCAGCACGTTTAGTTTTACGGAAAAGAAAGCGAGACTCTGCTAAACCTCTTTTACGAACTTTGCATTGGCTTCCTGTTGAGAAAATGATTGTGTACAAGTTGGCCACCACATGTCACAAATGTTTGAATGATAATGCACCATCATATTTATCAAATCTGTTAAGACTGTACATTCCAACTCGCAGTTTAAGGTCCTCAGCTGACAAAAAGAAATTTATTTTACCATCTATGAAACTTAAAACAATGGGTGAAAGGGCATTTGAATAACAAGGCCCCAAGATCTGGAATGCTTTACCAAGTACGTTGAGAGAAATCAAATCTCTTGATTCATTCAAAGGTCAGCTGAAGTCGTTTCTGTTTTTAAATTAATAAGATGAATATTTGGAATAATTTTCTTTAGTCGGGAACACAACGTTTCATGTTACTGCTGTATGTTGTACTGTATTGTAAAGCGCTCAGAGCCTGTGTACTTTATTAGGGGTTGAGCGCTATATAAATGTCATTTATTATTATTATTATTAACATCTTTTACTCACTCACACACAAGTACTTGAATGCTTCATTTTACTCTTCCACATGTATCACAACAAACTCACATGAACATCTTACTCGCACACATACATGAATTTCCCTGTTTTTTCTTCTTCTTCTTCCCTGTTCTCTGCTTCTCCAACATCGTTACTTTTTCTCCTCTTTTCTCTTCTTCCTTCTCCACCCTTTTCTCTCCCTTTCTCTCTTCCTCTTTTCCACTTCTTCCTTTTTCTTTTCTTCTTCCAATTTCTTCGCCTCCTCCCATGCTTTGTACTTTGCCCGTAAGACATGTATGTAGGGGCCTTAGCCCGCTTCTCTGTGTTGAAACCTTAGATAGTTCCATCATCATCATTACATACAACAGGATAGAGTTTCCTTCATATAAATTTGTTTCAAACATTAAAAAAGAAAAATCTAAAGTCGCTCATTTTCTAATGAATCCGTGTCTAAATAGATCTATCTAGATCTATATCAAATCATAGAAACTAAAAAATCTAAAGTACTAAGATGCCATCCATAGTCCGTCAAGAAATAGGGTGACCTTATTTAGGCCTAAATAAGCAAAAAAAAACCTCCCTTACCTTATTTAGGCCACCTGTGGCCTAAATAAGCTAAACCCCCCTCCCTTACTTTATTTAGGCCATATGTGGCCTAAATAAGCACTCCCCAAGAAATAACTATTTTTCAAGTCACGCACCAAGTAAAAAATATGGTGACGGTATGGGGTACATCCATCAAAAAATTGTACCCCATATCGTCACCCCCCCTACGGGCGCCAATTGTTACAACAAAGAGCAGCGAATGGTTTGTGGTGGTAACTAGACACCTTATAAACTGAATAAAAATGCGAAACGAATCCTGCGGATACGATTGTAGAACCAATAGCTTATTTCCAAAGATGTATTGCGCATCTGCAAGCCGTAATGGCTGAACGCGGTTCTTACATTTGGAGATGAAATGGATAATTTCTGCTCACACAGGTGTCTGATTCTGCTCAAAATTGTTGAACTTGAAAACAAAACAATGTTGAACGGAATTGTTTAGCAGACAGCATTCCAGATTATCGCATAATTGTCTGGTTGTCCAATTTTAGGCCAAATGCGTGCCAACTGACAGTATGACGTACGTGACGGTATGCCGTACATAGGCTATAGATTAGTTAGAGTTATTCGGATCTGGTGATCATGTACCGATATGTTTGAACTTTCTTTGTTGAAATAAAGTCAGATCTTGATTAACAACTGACTTCACTTCTGTGAAATTGCCTAATGACAAACTGGGTTGGGTGGCTGGATTGAACTTTGGCATACACCCACTGTGATTACCTTCTTAATGCGCACTAGCCATAATAACAGTCGGGAATTTCAGAGGGGCTTGGCCCCCTGTTAGTGTTAGTGAGGGTTAGCTCTACTTACCACCCCTTCAAACACAATAAAGAAGAGGCCTAACCCAAACCCTACCCCTACCCCTAGATCTACCCCTACCCCTAGATCTACCATCGGCGATTTTGTAGTTTCGTTCGTTAAAGTCAAGCAGGGGGGTTTCAGGGGGGCTTGCCCCCCTGACCTAAAAAAAATATGGAGGTGGGGGGGTCAGGGGGTCATGCCCCCCTGAATTTTATCCTAATTTGATGTTTTGCAGTTAGGTTGCATCCCTGCTCTTTGTGTAGCCTAATTCAAATAGTATTTGGTCTTCAAGACTTCTGGATTTCGTCTCTGAATGTAAACAAATGGATCGTGGACTTAAACGAACGGAACTACAAGATCACCCAACCATCATCTACCCCTACCCCTAGCCCTCAATTCTGCTCTGTCTCATACTCATAGTCTAGCATATGCGTTTGTAGCCATTTTTATTGTTCAAAAGTTGCCACAAAAATGGCAAAAGTAGCCCAAAAAGTTGCCATTAAAAAATTTTCAAGCTTTCAACCAGCTGTAACGACGTAGTACAGTCAAACCTGTGTAAGACGGCCACCCATTGTCAAGGAGAAAAGCAGCCGTATAAGACAGGTGGCCATCTTAGGCAGGACTAATCAAGATGAAGAAAACAAACCATTCCCATCTGAGGTCCCAATCGAAAGTAGCTGCATTGGTTTTGTTTTTGTTGTTGTTGTTGTTGGTTTGTATTTTGTTAGTAATTTTTATTTTGTCGCTGATTTTGCGCAAGGGTGACAATAAAACGAAAGGCCTGGAATGTATCAGACGAGGAAGACCGAGTGCCTTGTTAGAACAAACACACGGGTCGCCTCCACTCGGAGAACGAGCGACGCTTCTATCGCAAGTTCACGTTGACGTCCTTTGTTACTTTGTTACAGACTGGGTAAACAGTGACCACTCATCTCACGTACGATTTGTGTATGAGTTCTGGGCGGGGCTTATGGGTTATGAGGGATCACACGCTTACCTCACCAGCAGCTGAAAATTGGCACCTATTGGTCAACAGTGGGAGGGGCCTACGCAACATGATCGGTTGGAGGTACTACCTAACAACAACGACAGGTGATTGAATTATGACGGCTCGCCCACAGCGCCAGGGGCCAGTGCACAATTTACGACAAAACGTAATGGAGTCACTAAGGTGACCGTCTAAGACAGGTGTTATTGCTTAGTGTGATATGGGTTGTGTGTTAAAACATGGTGGCCGCAGCCGCGTTGGACAGGTGCCCGTTTTACATAGTTGAATTATATAGAAAAAATGCAAGGGGGGAAATGGAAAGTGGCCGTTTGTACAGGTGGCCGTCTTATAGAGGTGGCCGTCAGAGCAGGTTCGACTGTATTTACACATTCATGATGCATGAAAAAATTTGCACTGTTCTGTATATATAATCCTATGTACATGAAAACCAAAGCATTGACATCCCTAATTGTAAGTAAAATGTCCGTTTGATGGTGTATTAAGGTTCTAAATCTGAAAGTGGAAGAAATTAGTCTACTAATTTTTAATTATTATAATAATAACATCTTTGCTGAAGTCGTTCTGGGGGGGGGGGGGGGGGGACCTCAGTGTAATCATAGCTCTCAATATTCGGCTATTTAGCTAATTTCTGCTACCGCCATTTCCCCTGCTAAACTTCTGTAGCTCTACTCTTTTACTTGAAATTATCTTCCAAACCCTCAAATTGACGTGGTATGAAATTTACCTTGCTTTGATAAATTGATGGGTTTTATTTCAGCATTCTAGGAAACAGAATAATAATTGGGTGCCTCGCGAAAATGGTCTTCTGTCGCGATCACGCGGAAAGTTCCTCTTTTTTTTTAATTCTGAGTTGAGACCCATGAATAATTGGGAGTCAGCAGGAGCTAAAAATAGTTAACATAGCGAAAGAGTAATGTGGGATGACTTTTTCTGTTTCAACATTTGCATCAGAAAACGGGGGGGGGGGGGGGGTTGCTTTTGTTCAAAATTGTTTTAAAATTCAGAGGTTTGTGTGAGTGTGAGGAGGAAGAGATTTAAAGTGTTTGTCAAGCAGTGACATGCGGCGGCTCACAGACACAAAGGGTGAGTCTCGCATGTTGTGTTTTTTGCCGCTCGCGGTAGAAAATGAGCTTGGTCCAACCACATAGTCATAAGATGGTGTGTAAGAAAAAAAAAGTCGTTTTCTTCAGGCTTTTCTCTCTCTCTCCTATGAAAGCATGTTCTTCTTTGCTTAAAGAATGGTTTACTGAATAGCCATCAAAGACCCTCTCTCTCTGTCTCTTCCCCCCCTTCCCCCCTTCCCCCCTTCCCCCCAATCCCCCTTTTCTTCTCTTTCTCCTCGGATGGTTATATAATATAAATATATATATATACCTTTGTTCTTTTTTCCTTCTCCACAGGGTCCTGTTGTGGCAATGCAGGCTGACGAGAGTGCTTCGTGAGTAGCCTACTTTTTAAAAAGGGGATTTGAATTTTTTATTTTATTTGGTAAGTGTTTTACGGCGCTCGCAACTGCATAAGGTCGTATGAGCGCACGGGACACCCCAAACATTTTCATTTGGTAGGAAATTTTGAATTTTTCACGGGTGGCGGCGGAAGCCTACTCTTATCGATTTTGGACCTCCAAGGGATCTTTAACGTACGCAACTTGCACACGGGTCCTCAGAGATTTTTCGCCCTTGTCCGAGAAGGCTAGAGGTGTAGATCTTTCCTACCAGAAGATCAGGGGTGTGGCTGAAAGACTGCAGTAAGAAGGAGCCACGGAGTAGCAGTAGAAAGGCTGCAGAAAGAGTCGGGATCCCAGAGGAGGGGGCAAAGGAGGTGAAGTGGTGGGGGAAGAAAGTGGAGACGAAAGCAGACGACAGAATATTGCAAGAGAGAAAGAAAGAAGGTGAAAGGAGAATATTTTTAGAGAAGAAAAATTTCGCGCCGCTACCCGGATTCGAACCCGTAGCCTTTGAATGAGAGGCAAACACCTTAAGCTCTAGGCCACGAGAGCCCACGGGGATTTGAGTGAGTACATCATGTATCATATTGTCCCCGTGGTTTGATGCACCCCGCATAATTTAGCAAAATTTGATCATTTTTTGCATAATTTCTGATTATTTTCCTTTATCGTTCTTTGTTGAAATTAACAAAATGGCATAATTTCACATGTTTGGGCCCAGTTTGCATAATTTCAGAATTTTCCTTGCATAAAAACGACGGGAACAGATTATAGAAGAGAATGAGCATGAGCACTCACCAGTATTGGAAAGTGGTATAAATAAAAGTGAGTAGTGAGTGTGGGTATTATAGAAGGGGGTGAGAGTATCGAGGGTGCAATGTGAGTGCGTGTGATATAAGAGATAAGATAGTACTTATAGAATGGGATGAGAGCGGGCAAAGTGAGTACACATACAGTGGGGTCCACTTATAACGAGTGCTGAAATAGCGAGAAGTCTGTTATAAAGACACTATTCAAAAACCTGGGGGGGTTTTTTCCCCTTCTTTATCTTTGTAAAAATAAAATACTGCTATAGCGCAATCAGACAAACGCGTGAGATGGTTAAAGCGGAATATTGCTACTGCTGTGCACAGCGCATATAGGCGAATTATACATATTATGTAAAACCTCGCCAGTTGAGAAACTTGTTGGTGATCTCGCGAAACAAAGAATGGGAGAGCCCACATGTGCCAACAATGAAGGCCGGAGCGAATGAGTGGGGAGGGTGTGGCATGCGCAGACAAGCAGAACGCATGGCGTGATATTATAAAAGGGGGTGAGAGTGCAAAGTGAGTGCATATATATTATAAAAGGGGGGATAAGAATGAGTTCATATCATAGAAAGGGATGAGAGTGCACAAAATCAGTACAAGATGTGTTATATTTTTCGTCAAGAACTAGGTAAGTGAACAAATTTTAAGATGATACAAATTATACGCCCGCCCAAAAATTGATGAGGCCTGATTCCCCCGCATTGTGACACATATTATAAAAGGGGGGATAAGAATGAGTTCATATCATAGAAGGGGATGAGCGTACACAAAATCAGTACAAGATGTGTTATATTTTTTATCAAGAGCAAATGAACAAATTTTAAGATGATACAAATTATACGCCGGAAAATAGCTGAGCGCCTGATTGCAGCGTGTTGCGACACAAGTACTTTCATAAAGTCTGTGATGGCAACGTGCAGGCTTCATCTGTGCGCTCTCTCCTCTGTGGGTGGTTGGTGGGTGCTCTGGTGTGGTTTGCTCCTTCTTTCCTATCAAAGGTCTATCGTCCTTATCTCCCCTCCTTCTTTTTCGTGTTTGTTGCTCTCTTGTAACCCCTCTAATCTTCGGCACCTATATGACCTTATTGTGTTGCAAGTGCCGTAAATCTCTTAGTAAAGCTTAAAAACTCTCTCTCCTCTGTGTCTTTTGTGTGTGTTGTGAGACAGAGAGCTGACTCTAGGTACTTTTATTCATTGTACCATATATATGGTCACTTTTAAGCACAAGGGGCTATCCCGAAAAGTGCTGTTTTGAGAAAATGGAAAGTTAAGTTTTTGCCCTTTGTTCAGTTTCTTTAAAAGGCGAGGAGAGTTTTTCTCTATAGCCAAACAAATATGTCCACCAACGAAACCAAACTTCTCAGACTATAGGTAGGGCAATGCCCACTTTTGGTGTAGATCAAGATTTCTGGAAACCCCCGAAATCTGGGTTAGCCCGCTTGTCCTTAAAAGCGACCATATATGAATGACATTGTTTTTGTCGCTGTGTTTTTGTCGTTGTGATTTAGTCGCTATGTTTTTGTCGCTGTGTTTTTGTCGTTGTGATTTAGTCGTTGTGTTTTTGTCGTTGTGATTTTGTCGCTGTGTTTTTGTCGTTGTGATTTAGTCGCTGTGTTTTTGTCGTTGTGATTTAGTCGCTGTGTTTTTGTCGTTGTGATTTAGTCGTTGTGTTTTTGTCGTTGTGATTTAGTCGTTGTGTTTTTGTCGTTGTGATTTTGTCGCTGTGTTTTTGTTATTGTGATTTTGTGTTTCAACTTTGCTCTGTACCGCGGGCAGTGAGACGTGGAGAAAGGAAGCACAGTCTTTTGTGGAGGTGGAGTTGGCATCTGTGAAACCGAACGGGACCAAAGTCATTCACAATGTAAGACTTGTTGTATGTTTTTGTATATATATATATATATGTGAAGTGTGGTGGAATCAGGCTCTCGTCAAAATAATCAAAGTGAAGAAACTTGCATTTTTCCGCAGGTTTGTGAATTTTTATCAAATGTTCGCTTTTTTTGCTAAACACCTTTCACGCCCATTAAAGAACTCATTTCTGTGTGGATTTTTCTAAAAACGTTGATTAAAGGCACGAAAAAGTAAATTTTCAATTATCACGGACTCTTTAGCTAAGGAAATATCTAATCTTTGGCGGCCATTTTCTCACTAATTTTACCTCTGAAAACAGGTGACCCCCAACTCCTTGTTTTGCAAATATCTCGACTTGTATTCAAGATAAATGGATATTTTTTGTATCCAAATAATGACAAGTGAACAAGCTTTAAGATGATACCAATAACTCTATGTGCCCCAAAATTGACGAGAGCCTGATTTCACCACGCTGCCTCACATATTATGTGAAGTGTGCTGACAAAATGAGCTCCTTCTTGATTCGAGCTCTATGGAAATAAGATACATCCCGCTTATTGGTGAAGTTTTTACAATATTTATAAGTATGAAATAATAAAAGGCATTTTATACTTAAAGAATATAATATGCCATCTATAGAAAATCTACAAATTTGACCCTAGTGTCGAATTTTGGCCAATGTCTCTATTTGTGGGTTGCGAGAAGTAACTCATTTTGTCAGCACACCTCACATATATATATATAGTTTACTTTAAGCTAGAGCAAAAAGTTTCCGAGATGTTCCTTTGTTAGATAAATTCTACTCTTCTACTAAGACATAGCAGTATAACGTGGATAGCTCGAATTCATCGGGATCGGCCTCGGTAGTTTTGGGGTTTTTTTTAAACTCTGCAGCTTTGCAGCCTTCGATCTTAATTTGCTGGGGTATAGGTGACTCCTTTTGTTTTCAATTTAAACCAAAAAATTTTTGTATTTGTGGTGGTGGTGGTGGTGGGGAATCTGAGAAGTTCTCCCTGTTTTCTGGGCCATCTCAAGGGGTTTGTTTGCTTGTCTGAATTTTTTTGTAAGTGTCGTTGTCTGTCCGGTGAAATTGAGAAGTGGTCAAGATTTGCTGGGCTGGGAATTGAAAGGTGAAAGATTAAGAAAAATTTGACAGAACTATTGATAAAGCCAAGCAAGATATCTGGAAATGATTTTACTAGAATTGATGATATGTACAACACCACACGTATAAAAAAGATACAAAAGCATTATAAACGACCCATCACACCCCCTTTCCATACAAATTGTCAGATAACGCAGTGGCAGATATGTGCCCCCAAAAACAAAGAAAGACAGAAAAGAAGTTTGGTACCATCTAGCATAAGGTTATTGCCAGAATAGGCATAATGTGTATTACTCTTTACAGTATGTATCTCTATATTCTCCAAAAGTCTTGTAATTAAATTCCTGCATGTGGTTAAATGATGCCTCTGATGTGATAATATGTACATTTTGTCAGCTCTACTTCTTTTCATATTGAATTTTAATGAGAGTAATAATGTATAATTTACATTTTTTATGTACACATGCGTGTGTTTTTTATGGTCCTGTACAGCCAAGAAAAATTTCCCTCTGGGATCATAAAGTATTATCTTATCTTATCTTATCTCATTTGAGAATCTGTGTCTTGTGTGTCGTTTCCCCAGACGTCTTTCGGACTGGACATTCTAATTGGAGGCCTGAAGAAGGATGTGGAGAAATATGTGAGTCAACAGCCCTGTTTGCCTGGTATTTAGACATACCCGTGGGGGGCTCTCGTGGCCTAGAGGTTAAGGTGTTGGCCTCTCATTCAAAGGTCCCGGATTCGAATGCGGGTAGCGACCGAAAAATTTCCTTCTCTAAAATTGTCTCCTTTCACCTCCTTTCCTGCTCTCTAGCAATGTTCTGTTGTCTGCTTTCAATTCTACTTTCTGCCCCCACCCCCTCACCTCCTTTGCCCCCTCCTCTGGGCTCCTGACTCTTTCTGCAGCCTTTCTACTGCTACTCTTTGGCTCCTCCTTACTGCTGTCTTTCTGCCACACCCCTGATCTTCTGGTAGGAAAGATCTACACCTAGCCTTCTCGGACAAGGGCGAAAAATCTCGGAGGGCCCGTGTGCAAGTTGCGCGCATTAAAGATCCCTTGGTGGTCTAAAATCGATAAGAGTAGGTTTCGGCCGCCCCCCGGGCAAAATTCAAAATTTCCTACCAACTGAAAATATTAGGTGTGTCCCGCGCGCTCATATGACTTCATGCAGTTGCGAGCGCCGTAAAGCACTTTACAAAAACAAAAAGACTTACCCGTGCCGTAGCGTGGTTTAGATGGCAGTGGAAACCATATATAAAACAGGCCCGGTAATAACAGGAATTTTTTTAATCCCTGTTTTTTTTCCTACTCTTGTTCTGGATTAAAAGTTATCGGCAATAACAGGGCCTCATCGGAGCCCAATCGGTTTTTATAGCAGAGACAAAGGCTCGTTAGCAATGTGTAAAGAGTAAGAGAGAGAGAGAGAGAGGAAGAGAGTGACGCAGTGATGGAGCAAGCCCACGCAAGCCACGCCACCTCAAGCACACGCAGCGGAGGCTGAAGCGAGAGAGGGCTGCCATGCGGTGTGCTGCAGACTTCGATCTAGCCCTAAGCCTAGCTACACGCACGCACGCGTAATCATAGCTGCCACTTTCCCGCTAAATAGCGGAAACTCCGCTACATCTAGCGTTTCCCTCAACTTTCCTCCTTCCTCCGCTGGACCGCTCTTGGTCGCAAATTTCATACTTTTTTTTTTTCCACGCGGAAAACACCGAACCGGGAGAGAGACGAAAAGGCGGTTCACGCATGTCCGCCCGTAGCTTTCTACTTCCGTTCTTCTAGGCCCAGCGCTAGTTTCACATTGTTTGTATGGTTTATTGTTGTGGAGCAACACAGTGTCGATCGGGCATCGGGACGTTAGCGCGCCGAGTTGTCATTGAAATTGGCGGAAATTCGAGAGAAATTGATTCAGAATGCAAAAATAAAAGGAACTGGAATGAGAAAGAAGCAGCCGGTGTGCGACTTGAAAAGTTCATTAGAAAATTGAACTAGATCTAGATCTAGCCGTTTTTTGCGAAAGAAATCGCGGCCCGCGGCACTCCTGTGCCTGTGCAATTGCGGTCCCGTTTGTTTACATGACGGCTATTGTGGCTGCTGCGGAAGTGAATCTAGATCTAGATCTAGATCTAGAAAATCTATCTCTCTAGATATAATCTAGATCTACACATATTTAGATATATCTAGATCTAGATTAGATAGCCTAGGCTATAATTTTAATTCAGTTTATCTCTAAATAAGAAACACACTACAGGGGCACTAAGTGCTAACGGGACCGCCATTGTACAGGAGTGCCTGTGTATCCTTGATCCGATACTGCTCTACGTCTATGTATGTACACGTTTAAAGTGAAAGAAATCTTTTTATGAGACACCAGCTGGCAAAAAACACTAGATTTTTAGTCACCAAGTCCAAACTGTGTCAAATTGACTCGAATGCTTGTTAGTCAACTTACTGCCTTTATGTTGTTGTTTTTTTTTTCAAATACATTATAATTCAGTTGCCTATGGTTAACAATATGACAGCTTTCCCTTCCAAAACCGTAGGCTAGATTTTCCAGTATATATTGCCTCTGGATCTCACTGGTTTCGGAGAGTGCGCGTACGCCTTCGCGTGAATTTCCTCCTTTTTATAAATTTCTGAGTGGCAGCTATGGTAATGTGTCTTGCACAGGTCTGCCACACGACCAAAACCCCTGTTCGTGGGTACTTGTGGCAAGGGAAACTACCCATGAATTAATACAGCTGGATTAGTCCACTAATGCTTACTTCCCTTGCATTTCTGATTGAACAGTAGGGATCTAATATAACAGGACTTTTTCTCTAGTCCCTCCATCCCTGCTATATCAGGTTTCCACTGTACAAAATTTTGTTCTAAGTAAACCGTTTGAGTGAGATACTTTTTACTCTATTCTTAAGTGGGCAAAGAAAATTTTTAGGAAAAAGAAGGGACATTTCAAAGGTGAGTTGATTTTTACTTTTTATTAATTTCTTTTTATGTTGTATAATTTATAGTTTAAAAAGTGGGTGGTTGGCGGGTGCTCTGGTGTGGTTTGCTGCTTCTTTCCTATCAAACGTCTTTATCTCTCCTCCTTCTTTTTTATGTTTGTTACTCTCTTGTAACTGTAACTCCTCTAATCTTTGGCACTTATATGACCTTCTTGTGTTGCAAGTGCCGTAAAACACTCTCTAAAACTAATATAGTTTTAAAAGAATTTTGTGGCAATTGCCTTGTGGTGTGAAGTTGTCTGTCAGTTGTTGGGTTTTTTTAAAACAGCTTTTGAATGTTTTCCCTTTATTAAATTATTGGTGTGATAATGGAGAAAGGTTTGAAGATCACATGTTTACAACAGGGAAAATTTTGAACAACACATTTCTTCATATTTGGCTTGCATGCATTTTTTTTATCTTCCTGAAAGGTTGAAGGAGTGGGGAAGACTCAAATATGGTCTCATAACTCGATGATTCTGAAAGATGACAGCACCCTTACTGACTACGTCGATGATTCTCATATCGAGGGGAAAAGACCGTTCAAAGTCAAGGTTTTTATCAAATGACGCGTGATCTGAGCGCCGGGGAATGATGGAGCCATGGAGTGGCCCGCCCCCCCCACTGTCTTACATGGTTTTGAAGCAAACGGCTCTCTCTATTGCACGTTTTCTCTCAGTTTCTCTCTGTAGAAGACTGTCATGAGTTGACCCTCTGTGTGTGCTTAATGCGTCGCTTTGCCGGACTGTTGATGTGTACATTTTGTTTTTTGACATTTCGTTAAATTTTTTTCTCCTTCAGTTCCACCCTTGTTTTCTCTCTAACAATTCATTCATTTGCATGTGGCCTTTT